TGTTGGATTTTGTCAAGTACTTTTTGAGTATTTATTGAGATGATCACATGGCTTTTCTTATTTAGTCTCTTAATATAATGTTACATTGATTAATTTTTCAATCTTATAACAACCTTGCATTCCTGGGATAAATCTTTTTTATGATATACTATTCTTTTATATATTGGTGGATTTGATTTCCTAAAATATTAAGGATTTTTACATTTATGTTCATGAGGAATATTTATTGATGTGTTGCTCCTCTTCCTCCACCTCCTCCTCCTCTTCTTCCTTCTTCTTCTTCTAATGTTTTCATCTGGTTTTGTTGTAAGGGTAATTTTGACCTCTCAGAATGACATAGGATTAGGACATAGGATTTTTCTGGAAAAGTTTGCAGAGAATATGTGTTTTTACTTCCTGAAATTTTTGACATAATTCACCAATAAAACCATCTGGGCCTGAAGTTTTCTTTATGTTAACATCTTTAACTACAAATTTAGTTTACCCATTTCTTTCTGAAATTTGGTAGCTTGTGTCTTTTAAGGAAATTGTTCATTCTATGAATTGTTGAATTTATTGGCATAATGTTGTATATATTATTGTGTTTTAATAATGACTTTTAACATCCTTGCCTTCTAATTCTATCATCTTTGCCATATTTGGGTCAAGTTTGGCTGGTTGATTTTTGTCCTCATTATGGATCAATTTTCCTGCTTCTTTGCATCCCTCATAATTTTTTTTATTGGGTGAAAAACCAATTGGGAAAACATCATGTACCCAAAATTGAAATTATAAGGAAGCCAGAGAAATTTCAGTTTTGTTAGTGAGGAGTAAATGAAGTGTGGTTTTGTTTCTACGTTGGGAGAGAACACAATGGATGGTAAGCTTCAAAGGACTCATGATATAGGCAGCACCCCAGATATGCTTAGTTACTAAACATGATTCAGACAGTTAAAGAAGGGATATGGAGGTATTTCAGTAAGAGAGAAGAGCTTCAATTTAGGATGATGAGAGAATGTTTGAGGAACAATGACTAAATCAGTTTTCTTGGAAATTAGGGTTGTATAAAAAAAGTAATGAGGAATGTATGCATCTCAACGTTTGACCATATTAGGTGCATATGTCATGCCATCCCCAGAGACTGCAAATACCTTGAAGACAGGTACTGTGGTGTATACACAGGTGCCCATGCATTATGTGTGTGTGTGTGTGTGTGTGTGTGTAACCTTACATATCCATTCATATATATTCTTACATGTATTCATATATATATCTCATAGCCCCAGGTATAGTAATAAATGCTAAATATTTATTTAACTAACTTGGATTTTTAACACTTTTTTGGCAATATCATCTGCTTATAAATAGCTGGTCTATGTTGTTTGATACAATAGCTGTTAACTTGCTTTACTACCCAGCAGGGTAGCCAGTGGAGTCTCCAACCCAGCAATCAGTAGAAGCTGCACAGATTAGAACATCTAACACATCTACTTAACCTAAGCTTCAGGAACAAGAAGAACATACCTAGATCTTGCATTAAGAACACTGATTTTCACTATGCTTCCCTACTCTGATGAAAGAAACCAAATCATGGGGTGCCTCGGTGGCTCAGTCAGTTGAGGAACCAACTCTTGATTTCGGCTCAGGTCATGAACTCAGGATCATGAGAGTGAACCCCATGTCGGGCTCCATGCTGGGCATGATCCTGCTTAAGTTTCTCTCTCCTTCCCCTGTCCCTCCCCTCCTCAAAATAAATAAATAAATAAATAAATATTAAAAAGACCTTTTACTAAGTTAAGAGAACCTGTTTTTTATGCACATGACTGTGATTTCTTTTTTAGTTCTGAGAATTGACCCATAGGATGGCTTAGGAATTAGGTAAATATAGTTATCTTTTTTTTAAAAAAATTAATATTTGTATAGATATATGTAGTAAAGCCTTAATACCTTAGAACCCACTAATTTAGAAATTATGATCATTTGAAAATGATTCACAAAGATGTTTGACCTTGTATCATCTATAAAGAGAGTGAAATAATAGCCTAAATAAGATTGTTGGGGATTATTGTATGCATAAATTGACTACAAAAGCAAGTTCACAATTGGAATAATAATTATACTAATTATTCCATTAACCTGCTGTTCTGATTATAAATAATCTGTTTACAATACAACAGTTTTCCTTTTCTATAAATAGAATTTTGCACTCATTAGAGAAAATTTGGTGCATACAGGCAAAGGAGATAAAAGAGAAAGAAGTCCTAGTAACCCCCAAATCTGTATTTCCTTCCAGTCTTTTTGGATTGACATAGTGAGTTTTGGAGTGTGTGTGTGTGTGTGTGTGTGTGTATATGGGATGTAGAGGTGGTTATGATTTTATAGTTATAACCCTATCTAACTTAACCTTATCTAACTTGATTTTCAGATTATGTGGTAAAACCTTTTTGGAATATTTTTGGAGTATTTTTTCAGAGCAATTTCTTGTCTCAGATTATAGTTTTATACCCATAATAAAATATAAAAATTCATAACCTTTGTTGTTCTTAAACCACATCAAGATGTCTCTGTGAGACAGCATGTTCCTTGTCACTGGTTTCATCGGGTCTTATCTGCTGATGGGATGATACCCCTGGGAACAACTGCAGGCTGTCATGATTTAGGAAGTGCACCTGTGGGTAGCTTCCCAGGGACATCCCCTTTTCATTTTCTATGATGATTTTGCGATTCTCGAGTTCTTTATTTTGAGTCATTTCTTATTTGACTTATCAGTTAGGATTGGGTTCAGCTGCACATAAAAGTCTCAAAATAATGGTAGCTTAAATACAACATTTTTTTCTTCTCATGAAATAACTTCAGAGGTAGGTGACTTCATTCAGGTAGATTTACAGCATGGGACTCAGGCCACTGGCATCTTCTTTCTCTGCCATTCTTAGTGGGTAACTTCCTATTGCCAGGTGTCCTCATGATCCTAAATGGCTGCTAGACCTTGAGACAGTTCCACTACATTTGGGCAGCAAGGAACTGGCAAGGATAAAAGAGAATGCCTTCCAGCTGAGTTAGCCCTCTTCAAAACCATTGTTCTGAAAGTCTTACTCAACAACCTCCCATTACTCTCGGCCAGAAAGCAGTTGAATGACTGTACCTAGTTTCAAGAGAGCTTGAAAAATGTAGTTTTTTAGTGGAGAAAATTGCTAATTCAAATAGAAAAGAGTTTATTTATTCAGAAGACGAGAAGCCAATCATCTGAAGTACTTAGTGCTTTTAAAAGTACATCATATAGGGGCGCCTGGGTGGCTCAGTCGGTTAAGCGACTGCCTTCGGCTCAGGTCATGATCCCAGGATCCTGGGATCAAGCCCCGCATCGGGCTCCCTGCTCAGCAGAAAGCCTGCTTCTCCCTTTCCCTCTGCCTGCCCCTCTGCCTACCTGTGCTCTCTGCCTCTCTGTCAAATAAATAAATAAAAAATATCTTTAAAAAAATAAATTAAAAAAATACATCATATAACCACCAAATACGACCACATTGTAGCAAGTAATTTTCACAAGAAGGATACATGAGTGGTATATGTTTAAGTCATTGTGGAGCTCTGACTCTTTCTTTTGCTCTCACACATAAAAGGCAATTACACTAAGTATAACGTGCTTGGGTCATAAGCATTACAAAAATCTCAGAACACTCTATGTGTTACTCCATTATCATCATATTCAGACAGGCTTAATTTTTCCTTTCTCAATAACCTGTTTTAGTTGTTATCTTTGTTTTGTTTTACTTTGCTGACTGTATGAAGACTTTTTAAAATTAACACAGATTTTATTTTGCATTGTTGTTATCTGTTAATATTTTATCATACAAAAATGTATGGCAAAAAAAATAATTGTAGATTCCTGAAGAAGTTTTAGTCTAGGTGTGGCTTTTTTCCCATGAGAAATAAAGTATTTGTCAAAACTCTTGCTGAAATTTTTAACTCATCTTTAAATCCTTAACCTTGGTATTAGAAATCATCCAAAATAAATTTTCAGAAAATCTGCTACGCTATCTCTAAGACAGTGCCTAAAAGTAGATATACTCCATTCTCTCTAAAATACCTTTGTTCAGGAATAGAATTAAATTTCATCTCCTAACAGGAAAATGGATAAATTGTCCTCACATTGTTTATCTATAATATGTAGAGAGTAAAGATTATGTTTTCCTTTTCTGCCTAGTATAGGGTAATATCTTCAGATACACTTGGTTTGTAATGAATGCACAGAAGTTTCTGAAAATGTTAGGAACTTACAGAAGTATTGGTATTCATATTATCTCACTCCATATCTATTGCTATGTAAAAAATTAATCCTCAAATTTAATGTCTTCAAACAATAATATTAATTATCTCACAGTTTCTGTGAGTCAGGAATCCAGACATGGCTTAATTGATCCCTATGCTTTAAAATTCCTCAGGAAGTTGGAACATTGAATGTGCAAACGCAAGAGAAAATATTGTACAGATTCACCTCAGGTGAAAAATCACTTCAGTAAAAACAAGAAGCATACATACATATATTTTTTTCTCATCATAATTGTATTTTCTCAGATCTTTTGCCTTTCTTTTTGTTTTTATTGCTATATACAGTGAATAATTGCTACAGTAGTGATATAAATAGTACCCTTTAAATAATTTTTAGTGCCAAATCTGAAGAAGGAGAACAGCCATAGAATAAAATTCTAGTGTTAGGAATATACTTTTATGGAAATATTTCTATTGTTTTGAATTTTCAGAAAGACTATCCTTGAAATATAGTACCTAAAATAGCAATCTACCACCCTAATATTATTGAGAGGTGAATATAATTTTCAGGAGTTGTTCAAGCGACAAAAACTGAACTTAATTATATCAAAAAAATTCCTGAAAGTATTTCTATTTGATGGGCTAGAAAGATATATTACTGGTTTAACTTGATTTGTGTATTTAATACTGGACTATTTTCCACATAGTTATAATAAATCTCTTATTTCTCTTTTTTGACTACTTTTTTGAAACAGACTAAGATGCTTAGTGAAGCAGCTGGAAAAAGGTGATGTTAACATCGTAGACTTAAAGAAGAATATTGAATATGCAGCATCTGTGTTGGAAGCTGTTTACATTGATGAAACAAGGTGAGTTTTAGCCTCCCTTCCCTTCTATCTTCTTTGCCTCCCTTCCCTACCTTTTCTTCCTTCTTGGCCTTCATTTATCTCAAATATGAATTTAGTATATCTTAGCCAGGAAACCGGAAAAAAAATCTTATTAAAATTTAAAGAGTTTTTCTTCATGTAGCTATTTAACTGGACTGTGATCCTTTCTTTAAAAATACACATTTTAATCCAAATAGGTGAATATAAAAAAAAATAGTCAAACAATTAAGTCATAAAATGAACAAACTAAAGTCTCCTCTCTCCCTACCCTCATTGTCTTTAGGTGCAGATTTGTAAACTCAGAGACAGATGTAGGCTTATATCAATTTTCACTGATATAAGGATTTTCCTATTATCTCAAGATTCCAGAGTTCCTGCTGAGAAAATGGGTGTCACATGTCCACACATTCTCATAAGATGTACCTGTCAGAATCTCTGTGCAGGGCTTGCTAAGAGACAGTCCCAAAAGTGTATTCAGTCATCACCTAGACTCATACTTACCAGAGTGGTAGGGAGATAATGAAATGGGGATTTATTTGAAGAGGGTTCTTAGCCCTGGTGCTGTGGCTGTTGACCAGGTCATTTGGCAATATTTGGATACATTTTGGTTTGGTTGATGGGAGTGTGCTACTGTAATGTGATGGGTAGAGGCTGGAGCTACTGCTACAAATCCTACAATGCACAGGAAAATCCCCCACAACAAAGAGTTATCCAGCCCCAAGTGTCAATAGAATGGAAGTCAAGAAACCTTGGCCTTAAGAGAGAACTGTTTGTTTTCCCGTTTTTTCCTCCAAGAGAGTACTTACCTCAGAACCTCAAGAGGGTATCCTGAGAATCCTAATGCTGCTAGAAGGCTCAGTGGAGTATATGAGAGTTTATAAGAGATTTGACCACTATCTCTTGGAGTTTAGAGGGTACTAAGTCTGGTTCCTGATTATCATCTCAACAGAGATAAAGGTGGCAGGCTGATTCAGACTACCTTGAATTCACAGGTAAAAGGGACACTGTGGAGGAAGAGACATGTCCCTCCAGAGTTTAGCACAGAAAAGGTACTAAGTTTTTCCAAAGTCATGAGGCAAGTGAAATAGAAGTCTTTTGAAGGGATTGACCAGTATTGGAAGAAAACTGACTTCAGAAGACGAAAAAGAGGCTGGCTGCATGGGGTGATTGTTGAATGAACCGGGGAGAAATCATAAATATGCAGCCCAAATATCAGAGAACACATAACACCCAAGAGGGTTGTAGCAAGTTCTCTGAAGGATATACAAAGGCTCCCCAGAAGAGAAAAATAGCCAGCATTTGGGCATTTGTCCCATAGATGACAACAAACACACCAGTCTTGTAACACCCCCTGACTCCTATAATTTCCTGCCACCCCCCACCACGTCGCTGAGCGATGAGAAACAGCAGAGTGAGTGGGACAGATGGTGGGACATGGAGAGTGCGGACCGCCATCATTCCCCTTCGCTTCTGCAGGTACCCACGCATGAGTCAGGCCTGAGCTTGGCAGAGGCGAGAACTGGTAAACCAGATATGAGACTGAAGTTCTTACATGTCCATGTGTACTGGGCTTCACGCACACACACGCGCACACACACGCACACACACACACACACCACTTGTTGTTTCACAGGTTAAAATTCACATGATTTAAAAATAAAGATAATGTAAAAAGGTGCCTCATGAAAGTCTTGCCTCCATCCTTATCCCATCCCAATCTACTCGTATTTCCAATTCACAAATTTCTTATGTTTATTTCCGATGATTTACTACAAATTTCTATTTCATATTTTTCTCTTCTCCTTTTATGGAAGATAGAACACTCTCTCTATATAGTGTTTCACGTTACTTTCCTTCCCCTAAGGAAACTTGGAGATCTTCCTGTATCAGGTACTGACCTTTTTAACATCAGACCATGAGAATTTTCACTAATAACAGACAGAAGAGGGCATGGTGCAGGCTGTATTGCACAGGTGATTTTTTTTCTTTGTCCCCAGAACAGAACTCTTCTGTTAAAACATGATTTAGAGTCATAAATTGTGTGTGTGGGGGGGGGAGGTAATCATAGGCACACTTTTAGATTATAAACTTTATGCAGAATTGTTTTCCTGGTTAACTTTCACTGAATATATATAATGTATATAATTTTTCTAAGTGAACAGAGATTCAAAGTGTAAATTAAAAAAATCTGATGTTTCTGTAATTTCCTTGCTCCTTCAGTTTCACGTATGCTCTTCATTGTTCACAAATTGAGTGAATGCTCACAAATTGAGTGTTTAATCTGTCCTTGACATTTTATTTTTTGTATTTATTTATAAAACTAAAGAAATTTTACCTTAAGGAATTATTTGGAGATTTACATTGTTCATAATGGCATAATGTTAACTATCTGGTTTCCCTAAACACATCTTGTCTTTCATTTGATAGATTATTATATGCTATATTTATTAAGTTTCCCAGAAAATTATGATTCTATGGATATTTTGTTAACTTAGTTCTCCATGATCCCTAACTCATCTACACATATATTACATTTCTAAGTATAGTTCCTTTTCATTTGAAAATTGCTTTTTTAGAAAATCGCTTTTTTGTGGGAAGAAAAAAATGCTTAACTGCTTCATGGTAGAACGGGTGTGTGTGTGTGTGTGTGTGTGTGTGTGTGTGTGTGTGTGTGTGTTTGTTCTCTTTAAAAAAAAAAAATCCCAGCTCTTAACACTACATCATTCCCAATTTTTACTCAAATGACACAAAACTTTTCACTATTTTATTTTAATGCTTCCATGCCTCCATGGCATCTTGATTTTTAAATTGGATTAATAATACTGCCCCACATTTGGATCATCTTCCAAGGGCTCATATTAGTCTCCCCACAATCCTATACGTTACTTTCTGCACTTTACTAATAAGAGAACCAAAGCTCTTAGAAGTAAACAGTTTTGCCAATGGTCACAGACATAGGCTTTGTCGAAACTAGGGACAGAAACTAAGGTATGGCTTCTCTTCTCTCTCTTAGTATTCTTCTCTCTATAATTGGCATTGTCTCAGGATAGTTTTTAATGACCTCTGAAAGATTAAGATGACAATGTGTAAAACATTCTGAAAGTTGGAATTACAGATCCTAGAAAAACAATACCTAACATTTATTACTAAAAACTTTTTATTATAGCCTGCTATGTGCCAATAACTCTTGTAAGCATTTTAATGCACTATTTCATGTAACCATCACATGGTTAGATGAAATAATCCCATGAGCTAGAAACTTTATTATTACCATTTTACATACCTCATACATATGAGGAAATACACTGACAGAAAGGTTACATAGCTTACCCCAGCATCTTATCTGCATCCCTTCAGTAACATCTGACTTTGGCAACTTTGGAGACTTACTGGAAATTTTGATGAAAGCTCACATGCTGTCAGAGTTGTCAGACCCAGTGTTGTGTGGACTGTGTTTGTATCACTTCCAACTCTGCCTTCAGTGATGCCACATTGGTAGCTTGAAATTGGCTACAGTGGGAGTATTTATTTACACCATGGAAACTGGGAAATGCAACAAATCGGGATTTGTTTTTTCTGGAGAGCCTGTGGTTAAACATTTACCATAATGCCACTGGTTAGACTTAAGATTATCTCTTATGAATTTACTAAGGCTGTGATTTATGATCAAAATATCAGCTAGAAATTTTAGAGCAATAGTTCTTGATGTGATTTGATTTCCAACGGACTTAGTAAGACACTGAGAATGTTTTTGTTGAGATGCATTTACAATTATTAGAGTTTGACTTTGGAATATTAGTAAAACAGATGATTTAGGAAGAGAGATGAAGAAGCATTTAGGTGCTTTTAAACTTTACATAAAAAACCTGCTGACTTCTGAGATGTTTTTTAATGGAAAATTCTCTTTCTAGAAAAAAATGGTTTAGGGGCACCTGGGTCCCTCAGTCAGTTAAGCATCTGCCTTCAGCTCAGGTCATGATCCCAGAGTCCTGGGATTGAGCCCCACATTGGGCTTCCTGCTCAGCGGGAAGCCTGCTTCTCCCTTTCCCTCTGCTGTTCCCCTGCTTCTGCTCTATCTCTCTGTCAAATAAATAAATAAAATCTTAAAAAAAAAAAAAAGGAAAAAATGGTTCAGCGAGTATTCCAGCGAGGCATTTTTTTTTTTTTTTAATTTGGGCTGGACTGCAGAAAAAGGTCAACGCATAATAAAGCAGGATAAAACAAATTATTCATTGGTTTAAAACCCACACACACACACACACACACACACACACACACACATTTCCTGTTAAGCTTTAGTGACTGCCAGGTTTTAGTTAAGAAAACAAATCAAAACAAAAAAATCTCTTTTGAAGGATGATTTAAGTGAGAAAAATAAAAACGGAGTTTCTGACCGAATTTGAATTCTGACCTTCTTTGAAGGATTATAACATAATTTCCTTATGAGTACAACTGTTTGTTGATTTTTTAACAAGACATTTTCAAATGTAAATGCCAATATTTTATGAATTCTGCTTTTGAAAGTGTCCCTAGAGGCTATTGTTTTTCAAAGCTGCACAGTTGTAAGTCAGAAACATGTGGCCTTAAGGAAGAAAAAAAAAAAAAACCTGTTCCATTGTCCTTATTTAGATTGGGATATTGCCAGGCAAACTTGCATCCTCAACCTCATAAATTGCTATTCATGAGGGGAGGCAGCTGACTGGGAGGTATACTTTCAGAGATGGATATTATGTTTACTAATACCACCTAATGACACAATTTATATCTTCATCTTGTTAATGTGAACCAATCCAATTCTTAGGATTACCATAGTCAGAGCACAGACTCTTGATTCAGAAAGAATGGGTTCTTCAAAGCCTGGATCCTCTGCTCAATACTTCCTTTCTTTAAACAAATTACTTATCTTTTCTATTTCCTAGCTTTGTCATCTGTAAAATAAGAATAATGTCAATGCTGGCCTCATAGCCTTGATTTGAGGATTA